ATTGCAGTGAAGAAACATGGACGCAACAGCCTTCAAGGGATTTGAGTACCGAGGCAACAAGACAATTTAGAATAAAATTTCAATCTCCGAAGTTTTGCCGAAGGAATTGGAAGGAGAGTTCTGCGACGAAGCAGACAAAGCTATCGATTCCTCCCTGGGCCGCATCGCAGAGATCGAAGAAGCCTTTTGCATCTGGCAGCGTGGACGGCGGCGCGTATGAGCGTCCGGGAGGCAGAAGCGCTCGCAGCGATGGCATCGCTGAAGGCTGCCTGGTGCGAAGCAGCGCTGCGGCGGCGCCTGCGAAGCAGTGAGTGCCGAGGTGTCGGCCGAGGAAGGAAGACGCGCGCTGGCGGCCGCTGGTGGTCTCGAGCCCCTCGCGTCCTCCGCTCGCCGCTGCGGCCTCTTGCGCAGGCTGGCGTGCGACGGTTCGAGCGGCCTGGGACGCGCTTCCTGCGACGCTTGCTGTGCTGCGCCCACCACGGCGGAGAGGAACTAACCGCTCCTTGCTACACGGCTCCCCACACACTCACACATCACAACACAAGCACTCCAAACACACGCAACACAGCACACACACCACAGAACACACACAGAACACACAACAAACACACCACAACACAACACTCATTAATCAACACAACACACACACACAACACACACACAACACACACCACCACACACACACACCCAACCATATATCCAACGACAATTTCACACGTTACAAAAGCAACTGGTACACCTCTTTCTTTGGGATCAAGCTAAAATTTATTATTGTTAAATATTCTTGCTTATTTTATTCTTTAACCAAATCACATCAACAGGTGTTGGGCATTGCTAATAACCTTACTATTAATTAGAAAAGTCTACATCTGATGAATTTGTATAGTAGTGGCAGGGTGGGCGTTGTTGGGCAGTATTGTTGGTCCTGTATATCAAAAATTAAGCTTTTTTGTTTCCGCCATCATACTTTCTCTAAGTTGTTAGTTCACTCTATTTTTTTACGTGTTTTTGATGTCTAAAAACTCGCAATACCAGCCAAGTGGCCGACGTTGTCGCCATCTGATTGGGTCAACGCAAGGCAGCTAATCCATGAACAGATTTACCAAAAGTTTATATTCTTAGGTTGATCTGGTTATATTGCGGCAACACGGAATCTGTTGTTTATGATTAATATTTAGTGAGTACTGTATATAGAGAAGCCTCATTATTTATCACCATTCTTAAATAGATAAATTCTTCCACATGTCCTTCTGGTTTGCCAATTTACAGCAACGTCGGAATCAACGACGTCGACGCGCAAGTACTCCAGCTAAAGCCGCTCCGAAGATGGCGTCGCTGCACTGGGAACTCTGCGAAACTGTGTCGTGTTCATACAGCGGCTTTAAAAGAGAGGGCGACGAGCCATAAATATAGTGTGAGTGTTCGCTCCGAGATTAATATAACGTGCTGCTGGTGTGGACGCGAGTTAAGTTTGACACCGGCCGGCAGCGATGGCAAAGACTTCGGTTTCCCTCCGAAGGGCAGAAAGTGAACTACAATAAGAGTGCTTGACAATTGGAATTTTCGAACGGAATGCTTACTGTTTGTCTATATAGCTTCCCGCAGGGCCATTCTTGCCTACTCTTACGGTAAACAGGTGAGGTAGTCGCTTGACAGAGTTAAATTCGAGAAAGAAAGGTAACGGAGTGCGTCACTTGGCTTTGTCTAATCAACATTTCGGGCCGTCCGCCGATGAAATTTTTGGCAACTGGGGGTGGACGTGGTTTCCCAAAAGGATAAAGGAAATGTTCTTTGTTAATGAGTTCTTAGGAAGCCTAATCTCGACGCTTCCAGGTTATCACGTTTGACGAGCGTATAGCTATTTCTCGACGGTTCTCCGTGTCACAATACTACGAAACTTTCCAGATATTCGCAGATTTTCAGTAATCTGGGAAGAGAGCTCAGGGCCATTATACTGATGTCGCTGTAACTCCGTTGTCAGGGAGACCTAGGTCTTATGTCCCGTACTAGTGGCAGGATTTTCGGACACTGGTTTGTCACCCAGGTCGAATTCAGATCGCAGTCCGAGAAGAATTTCTAGGCGCGGCTGCTCTGATCGGTAGTTTTTTCCGAATAAATACAGGCAAAGTGCCGAAGCAGTTACGCGCTACAAAACCGAAACCACGGACTGCGCGCAATTTTTCTGTTTCAATTCTTTGCCATATCTGCACGATTACCGCACACACACATTTACATACACCTACACAGTGCCAACCAGCCGATCGTAGGAGTTTAGAGCTTTCCGCGGACTTTGCGGTATACCGTTAGTGAAGATATTTGTTGGGGAAAACCATGCTAGCCGACTGCTAGTCGGCCCCGATCTCGACGTACAGGGGGGCAGACCTACTGCATGCCCCGCTACTAATTAGACACATCCACTACACTTAAGGAATAATGACTTCCGTTGTTTAAACGTGATCAGAACAGTCAATCTGTCAGATCCAGAGGATTACTGCAGTCCCTTTTCTCCTGTCTAGAAGTAAAGGCGAGAAAATAGGATTAAATGTTCTTTAACTGGAAACAACCACATGGACAATTACTTAGTCCTCAAAAGAAATTATTTGGCGTTCGTAATGAATCGCCCTCCATTCAGTGCGATTCATCCGTAGATCCCTCTACTGTGTATCATTTCTACCTATCAATACACAAACTGATTATCCAACTCTTAAGAGACATCTTGTTAAACAACGTACGATTGTACCAAGCTTAGCAAGAATGGCTCAATCCGACTACCTCATTGGCAGATGTAATTAATAATATAATTAATAATAATATAATAATAATAATACTAACATTTTTCTCAAACACTGTAGTGTTTTTTAGTATTAAACAGGCGCAATGGACATTTTAGAACCTTGATCTATTCTTGTATGGACTTGTCATGAACCATAACAAATTATCCGCCAAGGAAAACACGCTAATGACAACCATATTCCATTCATTCGCAGACGAGAGCTGAGGTGTCGAGAAGAAGAACTTTGCCAGGGCGCAGACTGCTCCCAAGCGCTGATTTTTTCGTGTATCAAGGAAGAGGCTTTGGGCGCTAATTCCTTAATACGTCGACCAAGAGCAGCGCGCGTCCGAATGCCCCGGGCTGAGCAGCAGCATGGTTCAAATCCCACGTACGCGCGGCTTCGCGCTGCTTCGAAGTTCCGCGGCTGGACCCCTACCCCCAAGTTAAAAGTACTAACGCGCAACCGCTCAGTAGAACACAGCTTTAAATTGATGTCTTCCATGTGCGCCGCCGGTCGCGTGTTTTCATCTGCAGCGCCCTTGTTGACGTCGCCGAACGGTCGCGGAAATCTCCTCCTGCAGAACGCCCCCTTCCACGGCGGGCGTGGCGAAGTGACTCTGCCGCTTATCGCAAGCGGGTGGCAGTGCGACGTCGAAATGGGCGTACCTTCAATCGCTAGACACAGAATATCGCGTCTTTCGAATACACATGTGATTTGGTAAGCACAGCATTAGTTTAAAGTTGGAGGTTTCTCACTTCACGAGCGGGATTCGGCACAGCGGTGTCGTTTGGCGGCGGACGCTAACACTGAGGTAGCCGGGAAGGATTCATGAATGTTTCTCAAATGTACTCACAAGTAAGAGTTGGTAAACGGTTTTCGAGGACAAAGATATGGCAGTTATAAAGTTGATAACATGTTAATCCTATGTTTTAATATTGTTTGATCCGTTCCTGTCTTTCCCTATGGGCTTTAAAATCTTTCCTCTTTTACTCATATTTACAAATAAAATCTAGAACCTGCATTTTAGCTTGATACGTCAGATGCCTGTTTAAAATTTGTGATTTCAGATTTTAGTAAATAATGTATTTATGGTATTTTCAGTTAACAACTAATAGGATAAAAAATAAAAATGTAAACATTTTAAGACAAATTTTTTAATGCCTTTCTTTTTCTTTGCTCATGAACATGTTGTGGCTTTTATGTTGCAGCACAATTAAAAACAAAGATAACATATTATAATAGAATTTGTACTAAGCTTGTATATTGCCTGAGTACTATTCGCAAACTCGACATTTAACAAACCATTGTTAATCAACAAACATAGACAAACATTGACAAATAATTAACAAAGATCTCACATAATAATTGTACTACTATTGGCTTATTGCAATAATAACTATTTCACTTATTCCAAAAACTTCTCATTGACATCTTAATAAGTATCCATAAATAAATTAAGCTAAAAAACCAGAAAAAATTAAAAGACATGCTATGAAATACTATTTCCTTCTAAAAGCTAGAAATTCTTGTTCTCTACAATGAGGAAGTGCTAATATGTAAATATTGGAAAACCAACAGAATGTAATTAAAAGTTTCTGGGGAAAAAGCTTTCAAAAGGACATTTAAAATACACAATTCCATTCAGCAATGTGCCCAATGGCTAACAAAATATTAAACAATTTCTGAAGACTATTTATTTGAGGTTAGATGAGACTCCTTTTTAAAGGGGAAAAAATCTCTTTCAAAGAGTAAAAGAAAAATAAAAGTTAAACTCTGAAACAAATGGATAATAATAATTTTGTACTCTCCAAAAGCTATTTTCTTCTGCAATGTAGATAAATGATTTTTTATATATTTCGATAATGTTTGAATAACATGCTAAACTGCAAACATTTTTTGCAACACATAAAACCAATCCTTCATCATGGGTAGGTTTATCATCTCTTTTGATGAAATACTTCATCTGAAATACCATGCATGAAGTGTTTTCAAGTATTTATAAAAACAGTATATTCACGTCTCAGTTTCAGAAATGTGATTCAGCGCAATATACGATAGTCTTCAAAT